CAGTTCTGTAGCCTATCAGGCATCTGTGAGTTCTGCCACCATGCTATTCCCTTCTCACCTTAAAAAGGAAATTAGGATTACTAAACTAGTATATAAGGAGTGTGTTTGGGGCACAGTTTATGTAGATTCTAGTAAAATTTTTGATAAAGTATACTACTCTTGTGGAGAAGCTAGATTACACATTAATACACTCAAATAATTCTAAAGTTGTTAATGGTTCAATGTCACTGTAAGGAGGTCTCAAAAAAAGTTGACGTTACATCATTTTACAGAATCATAGAATCCTAAGCACCTCAATGATTTGTAACCAGTAGCCCTGTGCCATTTAACATTTATCTCAATGATTTGGTTAAAGGCATAGCTGATATGCTCATCAAGTTTGTGGATCATACAAAGGTGTAAGAAACAGAACAGTGGATGCCAATCTCCAAAAGAATCTTTTTTGTTTTGATTTTTGTTTTTTTTTGGTGAGGCAATCAGGGTTAAGTGATTTGCCCAGGGTCACACAGCTAGTATGTGTCAAGTGTTTGAGGCCAGATTTGAACTCATGTCCTCCTGACTCCAAGGCTGGAGCTCTATCCACTGCACCACCTAACTGCACCTCTCCAAAAGAATTTTGAAGGCTAGAGTATTGGATTAAATGTAATAAGATGAAATTCAATAGGGCGGAGCCAAAATGGCAGAGTAAAAGAAGTTACTTACTTGGGCTCTCCCCCAAATCCTCCAAATGCCTGTAAAAAATGACTCTAAACAAATTTTAGAGCAGCAGAACCCACAAAAAGACAGAGTGAAACAAATTTCCAGCCCAAGACAACCTGGATGGTTGATAGGAAAGGTCTATTGAGCCAGGCTTGGAGAGGAGCGCAATTCAGCGTGGGCTGCACAGGCAAAGATGGGGTCAGAGCAAACCTGGATAAGGAACCAGGAGACTGAATCATGGGCAGCTGTGGTGGTTTCCAGACTTCTCAACCCACAAATGTCAAAGACAACTTAGAAGGTCACTGGGAAAGGTCTGTCAGACCTAGGTAAGAGAGGATTGTGGTCCAGTTCAGGCCCTATCGCCACAGCCCCAGGATGGTGGCCACAGTGGCAGTGGTTGCTTCCAGAGCCCTCAGCCTGCAGATGGTGGGGGTTTCAAGCAGCTGATCAGAGGGGGATTGCAGGGATCTCTTTGCTGGTGCTGAGGCAGGATTCTCTTGCTTTGCCCGGGCTTGGATCTGGGTCACAGTTCTGGGTGGCAGTGCTGGGGTGAGGAGTGCTGGTGTGGCTTGTGGTGGTGATGGAGAGGGAATCCTCCTCACAGTCCCAAGGCAGAAAAGAGTGCTTGTGGTCACTCAAAGACCAGAGCACAGGCCAGGAAAGGAGGAAACACCTCTCCTTTCATCATACCAACTTGGAAGAACTGAAAATTTATAGGTGCCTAGAAGTATCTCTGAAAACACCTGCACAAAACCCCTGAAGCTTAGGACAGTACACTCTCCTCACTGGAAGCAGAACCCTACCTTAACAAAGAGTTTAAAAGTCAAGTAATTGGCTGGGAACATGAGCAAACAGCAGAAAAAACTCGGACTATGCAATCTTACTTTGGTGACAAAGAAGATCAAAACATAAAACCAGAAGAAGACAACAAAGTCAAAGCTCCTACATCCAAAGCCTCCAAGAAAAATATGAATTGGTCCCAGGCCATGGAAGAGCTCAAAAAGGATTTTGAAAAGCCAGGAAGAGAAGTCGAGGAAAAACTGGGAAGAGAAATGAGAGTGATACAAGAAAATCATGAAAAACAAGTCAACAGTTTGCTAAAGGAGACCCCAAAAAAACTGAAGAAAATAACACCTTAAAAAATAGACTAACCCAAATGGCAAAAGAGATCCAAAAACCCAATGAGAAGAAGAATGCCTTAAGAAGCAGAATTGGCCAACTGGAAAAGGAAATCCAAAAGTTCACTGAAGAAAATAATTCCTTCAAAATTAGGATGGAGCAAGTGGAAGCTAATGACTCTATGGGAAATCAAGACATTATAAAACAAAACCAAAAGAATGAAAAAATAGAAGACAATGTGAAATATCTCATTGGAAAAACAAGTGACCTGGAAAATAAATCCAGGAGAAAGAATTTAAAAATTATTGGACTACCTGAAAGCCATGATGAAAAAAAGAGCCTAGATATTATCTTTCAAGAAATTATCAAGGAAAACTGCCCTGACATTCTAGAACCAGAGGGTAAAATAGAAATTGAAAGAATCCACTGATTACCTCCTGAAAAAGATCCCCAAAGGAAAACTCCTAGGAATAGTATAGCCAAATTCCAGAGTTCCTAGGTCAAGGAGAAAATACTGCAAGCAGCCAGAAAGAAACAATTCAAGTACTGTGGAAACCCAATCAGGATAATACAAGATTTAGCAGCTTCTACATTAAGGGATTGGAGGGCTTGGAATATGATATTCTGGAGATCAAAGGAATTAAGATTAAAACCAAGAATCACCTACCCAGCAAAACTGAATTATAATCCTTCAGGGGAAAAATGGACAAGGAAATAGAGGACTTTCAAGCATTCTTGATGAAAAGACCAGAACTGAATAGAAAATTTGACTTTCAAATACAAGACTCAAGAGAAGTATGAAAAGGTAAATGGGAAAGAGAAATCATAAGGGACTTACTAAAGTTGAACTGTTTATATTCCTACATGGAAAGATGATATTATAACTCATGAGACCTTTCTCAGTATTAAGGTAGTTGGAGGGAATATATAGAGAGAGATAGATAGATAGATAAATAGAGGGCACAGGGTGAATTGAATATGAAGGGATGATATCTAAAAAATAAAATTAAGGGGTGAGAGAGGATTGTACTGGGAGAAGAAAGGAAAAGAGGCAAAAAAAAGCTTTTACAGTGGAGGGGAAGAGGGGGGAGGTGAGAGGGAATAAGTGAATCTTACTCTCATTGGATTTGGCTTAAGGAGAGAATAACACACACTCAATTGGGTATAGAAATCTATCTTACCCTACAGGAAACTAGGGGGAAAGGGAATAAGAGAGGAGGAGATGATGGAAGGGAGGGCAGATTGGGGGAGGGGGTAATCAGAAGCAAACACTTTTGAGGGGGGACAGGGAAAGAAGAGAAAAAATGGGGTGTGGATAGGATGGAGGGAAATATAGTCAGTCTTTCACAGCATGACTATTATGGAAGTATTTTGCATGACTACACATGTAAAACCTATATCAAACTGCATGCCTTCTCAATGAGGGTGGGTGAGGAGGAAGGGAGAGAATTTGGAACTCACAGTTTTAAAAATGAATGTTAAAAATTGTTTTTACATGCAACTGGAAAATAAGATATACAGGCAAAGGGGTATAGAAATCTATCCTGCCCTACAGTTAAATAGAAAGGGAAAGTGATAAAAGAAGGGGGGGTGGTTGATAGAAGGAAGGGCAGATTGAGGGAAGAGGTATTCAGAATGCATACCATCTTGAGGTAGGGGGAGGAGAGAGATGGGGAGAAAATTTGGAACTCAAAATCTTGTGGAAGTGAATGTTGAAAACTAAAAATAATTAAATTAATTAAAATAAAATGAAAACACACTTCAGACACACAAAAAAAGATGAAATTCAATAGTGAAAAATATAGTTTTGCACTTAGGTACAAAAAATCAAATTCACAAGTATAAAACAGGAGAAACATAGATAAATTCTGGAAAAGAGCTAGGAGTTTTAGTGGACTGCAATTTAAATATGAGTCAGCAGTATGATGTGGCAGCTAAAAAAGATAATGGGAATGGGTTGCATTAAGGACCTAGCTTTCAGGAATAGGGAAGCAATAATACTCCTGTAATCTACCTTTGTCAAACCTCTCTGGAACACTGTGTTCAGTTCTGAGCTCCACAGTTTCAGAACTTCTATTAACTGGAAAATGTCCAGAGGAGGGCAACCAGAATGATGAAAGACCTTGAATCTATGATATATGAAGCAGTTAAAGGAGTAGGCATGTTTAGTTTACTGAAAAAAAGACTGAGTGGAGAGGGGGCATATGATAGCTTTTTTTTTTTCAAGTATTTGAAAGGTTGTCATGCAGAGGAGAGATTAGACTTGTTTGGCCCCAGAGGGCAGAACTAAGAGCAATAGGTAGAATTTGCAAAGAGGCAAATTTAGGCTTAAGGTCAGAAAAAGCTTCCTAACTATGAGAGCTGCTACAAAGTGGAAGAGGCTACCTTGAGAGGTGGTAGGGCCCCTTTCCCAAGAGGTCTTCAGGCTTAGGCTGGAGAATCACTTGTCAGCTATCCGTCCCCTGAGGTCCTTTACAACTCAATTCTATGATTCTGGGAGCTGCTCTTCAGGAAAAGTCAGATTTCTGGGCCCTCCCTTTAACATGTCCATCTTCAGTCCCAGTAAAAGAAGGAAAGCAGCCTAGGAGAAGCAATCTAGTGGAAGCTATGTGGGATTATAGACCTATAAAATCAAGGGTTTTAGAGCTGGAAGGAACCTTAAAGGTCATCTTATCAACCAAAAGTTGGATGACCGCTTACTGGCTATGCTACGGGATTCCTTTTCAGGTACTGGTTGGACTAGATGGTTGCTGAAGTCTCTTCCAACTACACAATTCTTTGATTCTTATTCTTTAATACTATGAATTATTTTGGGCCATTCATCCTGCATTTGAATGAACTTCTGCATTAGAAGAAAGTTACAAAGGCATATCAATTTGAGTCCAAGTTGTTGCAAATTGAGAAAGTACATGGAGAACTTTTCAAACTTTAAAGCACTATATACATGTCATCTACTATTGTTAATAACAATAAAATATTCCTTACATATTAAAAGAATCATATTAAAGAACTGTTTCTAAATCTTCCACTGAATAAACAGTTATGTTTGTAGCTGTATAGTCTTCAAGATTTTATCCTTCATAACAGTAACACAAAAATGTTGGGCACTTGATCATTAGTATTTCTGCTAAAGGTTCAGAAATTCAAATTTTCCCGTTAAAAAAAAAAACCTATCATACAAGTTCAGTTTTTTTTATCCTGAAAGGAATAATTTATTGACAAATACCCAATATCCAGTTTAAGGAGAAGAAAGATCAATTCCCACCCCTTCATCTTCCTTCTCCTTACTGTTCCCCAACAATTTCAGCCACAAATAATAAAACTTGGTAAAATGACACTACACAGTGTATTTCCTACTGCATTTGCCTCCTAACATTGCATGGAATGCAGCCCCTAGGATTGATAGATACTGGTGTATCAGAACTTGCTTCTCTGGAGTAGGGAGAACATTAAGGCTGAACAAAATAGGGTCACCTTGGGCTGGAGGGAGTATTCCTTCAGCCAGCGAGATTTTATTGATATGTATACAAGCAAACAGATTTTAATCCCACTGCTGAGAGCCAATAAGGCACAAAACTTTACCCTCAAAATCATGCCTCACATCAGGCAAAGCAATTGCCATGAGAAATAATGCCAAATGGCATCATTTTAAAAACGGAAAAAAGTCTCAGAGCTCCTAAGAAATATTGATATTAGGAAGTTAACAAAAGAATCTGTCCCAAGACAGATTCTTGCTAATCCAAATCAACTCTTTCCATCCATCTCTAGCCTGTCTTAGGGGAGGGTCCAATCCTACTTCTCATTAAGTCTATTTTCTGAGTTTATACCTACTGTAAACAATGGCAGGTTCAGATTTACTGACCAATAATGTACAATCATTTGGGCTTATTCAGAAGCAGAATAGCTGGTAGGACGGGGGATGAGCTGTTGTCACTTTAAAGTTGCTTAAGACAGAGGTTTATCTCTCATCTGGTTATAATATTCCTTGCTGTCTAGAAGCCTTTGAGCTGATTAGTGAAAAGCAGGAAACTGCTAGGAGCTGCTGCAGCAATTCAGAGAACAGAGAAGCAAGTTTCATACACTCAAATGAAGTTAACGAATGAGCTAAATAAACACACAAACTGGCAAAGACATGCTGCCATGAGGGTTAAATGCAAAACCACACAGTCCTCAAAACCCAGCTTTAGAACCCTCAATTTCTTTATATAAAAAGATTATAAACAAGTAAAGCATAAGGTGATGTAAGGCTTGCATTTCAGCTTCAGAGTTCCAAGATAACATTTCCCTAATATGAGGCTAAAGCTGCTTTGCTTCGTTTTGATTTTTGAAAAGTCCACTGCATTTAAAAAATAAAGATTTTCGTTTTGTTAAAGCTTGAGCATTAGTGTAACAACCAGGCAACTGCTAATTAGAGTCTCCTTTCTGGAAGGCGCAGAAAAATGGACAGTTTCACATCCTGACAATCATTTTCTGGGGGAAAAAAATAATCAAGCTAGTTAGAATCTTTTAGGTTATTTATAAGAGCTTTCAGAAATTGAGGGAGGGGAGAAAAGAAACAACATTTTTAAAAAGTTTGTTTCATAATTACACTTCTTTCCACTTCCAAAAAGCAATCTATTTGGGCATTCAGCTAAGCTATAGTGTTTTCCAAATGGGAGTTCATGCTTTGGCTTCTATACCCAATGAGAAAGTCCTGTCCATTTAAATGCACCTCCCAGGAAGAATAGCACAGTGATACATTTCATCTATAAACTTTAGTGTAAAATATCTGTGTACAAAACTTTTTTGTTCTCTATTTTACTCAAATCCAGCAGCAAGTGTCTATATATGTATGGATATGAATTCTCAAAACTGGACTCTGTCCATTTCCTGGTTTGAAGTATAATTGTTTTTTTCTGCAGAGTTGCTCATGACAAGTTGAGCGGATTCTTGAATTCGTTCTGTGGCAGAGTAAAGCTCCAAAGGGGTCTAGAAAGGAGCATGATCCTGCAGAGGTTTATCGCTGTTTCCTGTTGGTGAAGGAAGGTTGTCACTGCCATTCTCCCTGCCACCAACGACTTTGGACTGCAAAGGGGAAGAGACATAGGAAAAAAAAATGTGTAAGAGCAGTAGGTCTAAAGTGGATATATTTCCTAAGAACTCTGGTCAGTGCAATGACAGGCCTGACTTAAAAAAGACTAATAATTAACTGCCATCCTTCCACCTCTTGAGAGAGAAAAGGCAGGCTGCAGTAGAAGGGCCAAAATGAACCGTACATTTTCAGACATGGCCAATGTGTTGATTGGTTTTACTCTATTATACTCATTTGTTAAAAGGAAGATGTTGGAAGAAAAGTGGAAGGGAGAAAGATGTTAGTGGGAATTAACAGAAGGAAAAAAAGAAAGAAAAAAGAATCAATAAAACAAGTTCAGAAGGGACATAAACAGGATAATTTTCCTATTCATTAAGTTTAACATACTATTTAACAACAAACTACATATAAGAAGTTTGAAGTTTAAAATATAATCTTGTTATTTGTACATTGAAATGTTTGTATTGATAATTAAATTCATAACAAAAATATTTAATTTTAAAAAGACATATTTCAAAAATGTACTCAGAATAGGTCCCGAGTCTCCTCTTCATATTAAACTTTTCTCTTAAGTGGCTGTACTTAATCACAAAAAAATTGAAAAATAGTAGATTAATTATAAGTTCCACTACCTTTATGGTCCCAACTCGATCTTCAAAAGACTTGAAGGTTGCAGAGTTCCTTTAAAGAGACAGAGAAGATATCAATGCTAAGGAGCAAGTGATTGTACTCCTTCACCTGGGAAAACTGCCTCTGGAGAGAGGCCTCAATTAAAAACATCTCCCTGGGCTCCTGACATTAGCAAAAGTTAAGAAACAGATATATAACATGATTAATTTGGCCAGCACCCTCCATGGCTGCTGTTATCTCCCACCTCCGTGACCTTGCCCAACTGATACCACACGTCTGGAATGCATTCCATCCTTATCTCTACTCAAATAATCCTTAGATTCCTTCAAAGCTCGGCATAAGTGCCAGTTACTCTATGAGAGTTGTTCTGGTGTCCCTAATTATTAGCACTCTCCATCTTAAAATTACTTTGTATTGTTTTGTTTACTTGTATTCCTATTGTATCCTCCACCGCCTTTCCTCCCAATAGAATGTAGGCTACTTTCGGGCAGAAGCAATTCATTTTTGTCTCTGTATCTCCAGCACCTTGGATAGTACTTCACATTTGGCAGTCATTTAATCATGATTTGGTATGAAATGAATCATCAGTGACTTCTTCAAATGTGCTTTCCACCCAGCAACAACATGGTAAGATGAAGAAGTGATCTCATAAATTTCACCTAACACTCTGGCTCTCTCCTTTGCATCTTAGTTATTTATGTACAGATTTACTCCCTCCCTCTTTTAGATTCTAAATTCCTTGAGGATAGGAACTAAGTTTTGCTTCAACTTTGTATCCCCAGTATTGAGCAGTGCCTTGCACAAAGCAGATATTTAGCACATTTGTGGACTGTGTCAAGTAAAGGTATAATGCAATTATAAATTATAATTGATACATAAAACAAAAAGTTTCTTTGATGAAGTTCACACCTATAATGTACAATCTAATCTTTAAATGAAGATTATTCTACATAGATGACAACTGTGGTTTGAATTTAGTGGCAGATAAGGAGGTATTGGGCTACAAACAAGTATGTTTTCTCTTTATACTGAGTATATATTTGTGTCTCAACTTACTGTATATAATCAAGATAATAGGAATTCAAAGCTATAGGTTCTTCATCTTTCATAAAAATTATTTAAATAATAGAAAAAAGAAGAGCTGCTGATAATGAGTAAAGAAAGAGATAAAACAGAAGAGGCAAAGAGAACAGGCCAGCCAAACTGCTCCAATGTGACCTCATTTACACTATCCAGTTTTCTTCAAATGAGTAAGTCACCTACTCTACCCTGGAACATTTAGATACAAATGTGTCTATGTCTTCCTATGTCCTCTCAGGGTAACTGCTGGCTTACAGGAAATTCAGGATGTGAACTCTAAACCAGATTTTACTAGTGGTCACAAGGGGTTTAAAATATAAAGAGAAATTTACTGAAAGTTAGCTCCAGGGCCAGTAGAGAGTACTCAACACACTTTAATGCAAAGACAAGCAGATTATATCTACGAGAATTTTAAAATATTCGCCAGGTCTCCCCCATCCAGGCTCAAATAAAACAATTCCACATGAATAGTTCTGGTGCCACCTGAAGTCAAAATATTTGGGTTACCAGTTCTGACCTCCCTAGTATAAAGCCACAGTATCTAGACAAAGAAAGGTCTATAAGAAGTAGCTCTTTGGTGTGGAAGACTACTACCTGATTAGCCTAACAAGCTAGGCAGCCAGTTAGGGCTCCTTAGGGTCCCTTTAGAAGTACAATATTGCAGCACTGTTTGGCAAAAGAATAATTTTCTCTAGAGACTTCATTAAGAACCTCATACCCAACCACCAGACTCTTCCTTACCAACCCAAGGAAGGTCTTTTTACATCCTGAACTTTTAGGGAGCTAAGGAAAACTGATTCTTGGATGAGGGTTCTGCAGGTGAGGATGACTGAAAATTACAAGGAATGGTGAAAAGGCAAGCAATTTTTAAACACAAGCATCAGAGTAAAAGTCTCTATTCCTGTATCCCCAATCCCTCTGTATACATTCTACATAAACACCCAGATTCTTGGTGAGTAATTGAGATCATTTATACATTACCTCATAGCTGGCATACTTATTGAATGACGAATGGAGTAGCTGCTACTTGGAAGCATTATAAAAGCAAAGAAGGAAGTAAGAGTTAATAAAGAAATTCAGATAGAAATTGGAGGTTCCTAACATTCACAGGATATTACACATGAGTTCACAAAAATCCTGCCATAGAGAATGCATAAGGAGATGCATCTTGGTTATTGTTACACAACACAACTTGATGGAGTTGTCAACTATAGAAATGTATTAAGAGCTCCTTCCACAATGGTAATGAAAATGTTTCAGTTGATATCACACTATCTCTCTTTGTGTTTGATTCAGGGCTATCTATTCCTTCATCAGTTCCCCTTGGGACTTCAGAGGGCTGATGAGAAGACTGTGATATTATTCAAGAAGTCCAATTAGAGAAGACTATGCTGTAGGAAAAAACTAACAATTTCCCAAATCTTCTGGTATAAATAAACTAAAGATTTCCTTAATTGATTTTCTATATAGTTCAAATAAAGCTGTGGCAAAAAAGAATCGAACAAAGCTAAATAGGTCAAAATGTTCAAATCCACAGTGTGTTTTGTATCATATAAGGAAGAAATTAGTTAGGCACAAATAGCAAAACTGTTTTTGTTTGTTTGTTTTTTAATTTCAGTTTTCTTCCCAACACAGAGTGCCAGCAGTAGAAGTAATATCTGACTGGTTCTTTTCTATGATCCAGTGTAGAAAGAGCTCCTAAGCATTGTGCACCAAATCAGACAGAACCTAATTTGAAAACAGGCACAACAGTCTTTGGAAAAATTAGGAATCAGCAGTGATTTAAAGGAGAAGTACATACTACTAACCAGATGATGAGATAGTTACAGGAGTCAGCATAACCCTTCCACATAAAAAAGTGTCTTCTCAGGATAGGCTATACTGTTAACTCAAACATACTCCCCATAAACAATGAATGAGATGAATGAAATTTATCTACAATGCAGCTACAGTCTTTAAGGTTTGCTTTTGTCAGTATAAAAAGATACAAACTTCCTTGATAAATGCTCTTTTAATTTAGATGAAGACAGCCAAACAACAAATCTTACTCTGGGGAATACAAGTAAGGAGAGGGAGAATGCAGATCTGCTCCACATCTCCACTTGTTGAAAGCTTTCACAGATGGGCTCTGGTGCTACCTTGTCTATGAAGTTCACCCTGATTCACTCAACTCAAAATGTTCTTTACCTCCTCATATTCTCTTATGTCATTTTGTACTTCTCCTTTGTGCCTATCATAATCTACCTTAGAACACACTTAGTGTACCTATCACATCCCTTTTGTTGGACTGTAAGCTCCCGAATGGGAGGGAATGTATTGTCTTTCATTTTTATATCTTCCCCACTGCAAATAGTAGGCACTTAAATGTTTGTTGAATTAAGGTGTTTTTCAAAAGAGGGAGAAAGTGTTGAACAGGTATGAGGTATGCAGCACCAACAGCTGCCAATGCATTAGTATTGAACCCAACATCTCAGGTTATAATTGAGGAGAAAATGGCACAAATTCTAAGAACTATGAAAATCCTCCTAAAAACACTGCTGAGGTAGAATAACAGAGAGTGGCACAGTCTAGGACTGTATAGGACATCACACACACACACACACACACAACACACACACACACACACACACCCCTTCCTGTCTGATGCTGCCCTGATTTTCTGAGAGTGCTGGCCAGCTAGAATTGATTCTGAGTCTCACTCTTATCCTGCTTTGTGGAGAAAGTCTTTCATCTTATATTTATGGTGGGTTAGTCTTACCTAAAGGAATGTGAGAAGGGATGAGCCCTAAAAAAACACAAAATAATTGGCAGCAGGAAGAAAGGGAAAAAAAATACAAAGTTAGGCAAGGAAATCTAGCCACCCAGACTTGCTCAATAGCCCCTCTGTTCCAGAAAGCCACTCCCCACTATCCCTCCCTTTAGCAAGCCACTTAAAAAAAGTTTTTTGCCTCTAATACACAACACCTCCCTATGCCCTTACAAGCTTGCAAAGAGGCTAACAAGCCCAAGAGCCCATGTGTGCAAACTCATTGTGAGGTTCAACAAATAAATACTACCTCTCTAAAACCTGAGTGTTTTAATCACTGATGTTCTCTTGTGAGGGTGCATAATTATACTACAGAATACCATACTAGACTCCTGACCCCAAATTACTCAAGTACTAGCTTAAGAATTAACTCCTTATAGTCTATATTCCAGTAAGAAAAATGGCAGACCCAAACTGAATGCATAGCTATTCATGCAGCACACATGGTATTTTCATCTTTTTGTATAATTTGTATTTAATACCATAAAACGGTCACTTTCAAGAAATCCATATGCATTCATAATCCTTATCTGGAACAACCACCAAAAAAAAAACAGCATAAAAAGTAACAAAGATACAAACTATGAAGCAATTTGACCTCCATACATGCAATGTTTGACTCTGTGATATTCAAAATTTCCATATGATAAGTAACGGGTATCACAGGCACTCTCAAATATGTACCTGCCCAGTTGATAGTTTTCTACCATTTAATAGCTTATGAGCAAGGATGTATTGCATCAGTAATCTGAAGTGCTTTTTTCAGCAACTGAATGAATACCAAGGTACACTGAACAAGTCAGTTGAATGAGAAACAGAGATATTTGAATTGATTGGTTTGGTTAAAATATTTATTTTCAAATTTGTAGTAAGATTTTAAAATAAATATATTGTAGACACCATCAGATAAGTTCTAAGATCCTTTTTTCAAACACTTAAGTGACAAAGTTCACTTTCATTCATCCTCATAATATTATTAAATATTCTAAAATTAATGTCCTTCTACTCTCAACAATCTGGAGTCACATGAGGAAGTTACCAGAGGTTTCTCAACGTAATGAAGAAATGATTTAACAACATTAGAAATATGAGACTAAGTCAGATCAATGGTTCTAAAAGCTCAGGATTCTAACTTGGACAGGGACACCAAGGGACATACCTTGGAAGAGCTACATACTTACTTTCTGTAACAGTGCCCACAAAAGATTTAGAATGTATTTTGAAAGTTCATACCATAACAATCCAGTATGAAACTACCACCTCCATGGATTTATCTAAACCCTGCTGGAATCTATTTATACTGTCAAGGAATGGTATGGACTCTAGGTTTAAAATTCATGAATGGAGTCAAGGATCTTGCTTCAGCCAGTTTATCTAAGAAAAAGAACAGGAGTACTTTAAAAGTGTACTAAGAACTTTCAGGGAAGGAACTCTTAGGAATACACAATTAATTAAATGGAGGCCACTGGAAAGTTCACTTAGGAACTATGACCAAGTATAGTCTATGTTAAGGAGACCTTGACAAAAGTACCAACTCTAGATCAGCAAGAAAATGTAAATTCCTTTAGGTACCTTAAATCTCATCGGCCAAATGGAAAACAGAATTTGGCTCCTTTATATTAAAAGGGTGAAAGCAATGAATTCAAGGAGACTTAACTTCAACTTCCAACTCCCTACCTCCTCCTTGCCCAGGATCACAGACACACACAGAACAGCAAGACAGAGTAGAAAAAGTGGCAGATTAGTGTAAAGATATACTGAGCACTTGACTCATTCAAAGGAAATTTCTCCACTGCAGGCAAGTAACTACACTCCCCATAATCTATGATCACAGGCACTGAAGACAGTGAGTCACAATTCTCATAAATGCAAGTCTTCCTGTTATTCTCAAAATTTAACTTTCAGTTTCAGTAATCATGAATTGTACAGAGTTCCAGAACCTGAATAAATCTTCTTAGCTCCAGCATCAGGAAAACAAAGGAGATGCAACTCCCCTTGCAAATATATAGAACTAGAAATAGGACCATGTTAAGTCTTCCAAAAAGGAAAAATGTTTATTATATATGCCTTAACCAAAAAAGAGTAAGTCAGTCCTCTGAATCTTACTTAGTTTGCTGGAAGTCAGCATTAAAATTGCAGTCAATCTTGACCCAATTTCCATTCAGGATGATTTGATGGAATTGGAGTGTCATTTAGTTTTAATGAGCTGGGTAAAGTTCCACATGTGAATAAACCAAAAATTAAAAAAGAAAACTGTCATACTTTTTCAATTGCAAAATATAAATCAATATTGGCCTGAAGATCTCAAGCTAAAATCGTTGCATAACAAGTGAACTATTCTTTCTCAAAAGGTGTCTAAAGAAATTAAGCCGCTGCAGGTTGGTGTGGGAATGAGAGGGAACCATGAACACAGAACATTACATACAATATCAGATTCAGTTGCTATGTCAGTTTTGTTGAACTGCTGTCTGCAGGTCTTTTTAATTCTTTGTAATTCACTCAGTAGAGTGAAGGATATATTTGGAAATAAAAGTGATTTTATAAGTCATGCCTGTCAAACATTTGTTGTCTTCCAGGACTTCTTAGCTATTTCTCAAGCCCTAAAAAAAGTATTTCAAGGCAAAGCATGACCGTCAACAAGTGGCACCACTCTGAGAAAGTACATTCCCAAAATGGCTCAAAGCATGTTATTAAAAAAAAAATCTCTGAATGACTTTTAAGTCAAATTTTCTTATAACTAATATTCATTTCTTCTCAACTCACTCCAAGGCAATATAGACAAATTATAAGGAAAATGAGAATGTGATACTAACCAGCAGCATGTGATCAGAGATTACTACCAGTGCTTACCACCTGAGCTCCCCACAGGCCCAAGGAGGGAAGGAGTCCCCAAAAGTGCAGCTTCGATGAAGGAACTGTCCAGTGTAATTTCAAATGAAACTTGTTACAAGAACTTACACAAAACACCTCCAGAGTTTGCTTTTTAGGTGGTGGACATGTCAGTTTACTTAAGACTAATATTTGTTAGCTTTTTTCCAGAGGAGGCAAAGCCCTTTTTGCTGAGGCTCTTCCAAATGATTTCCCATGCCCACACAAAGCATGAATGAGATGATATTTGCAATCTTTAGTTAGAAATACTAGCAAACATACTATGTTGTCTCCCTTACCTTGGAGGGAAGCAAAAATACAGCAACACTTGCTTTAAAGGAACACCTTTCACTAGGTGGGAAAGTCAGCTACAAACTTTGGCTGAAGGATACATACACTGAAATGCTCCTGTTTTAACTTGTCTGGAACTACTATACATCAGACAAATATGAGAGAAACATCACTAGGACAATCTTACTTTGTATTTGTTTCCCACTAAGAACTTTCTCTGCTCACAGCTGTCTAGTCTATGAGCTGGATAACTTTGAAGCAAAATAAATCCCAGGTAAAGGAAAAATCGCTCATGATACACAAAAGAAAAATCAGATTAAAAATTGGATTACACAAGAGGTTCAAATACAGAGACATTACAGCTTTCTTGTGGTAAGTTTAGGTTTTAAAAATACTCATGAATCTAAATATTTAGATAATTCATCATGAAACAGATCTACCATAAAGTCAAAATTCTTTTACAAAAATTCCATCAGATGTTGATTAAAATACTGATTCTGATCTCCACAAAACTTAAGGTTTAGCAACTGTCTTTCATTAACTTATATAAGATTTAGAAAATCAAAATATAGAAGCTAACCATAAGGATGAACTTGTTTGTGGGAATATTCTGTATAATGTGTACTGTTGTCAAAGTCAGATACTGACATCACATATGAATTTATAGTATCCTGCATGCATACTGCCATTGGTACTCTGTAAGAAGGACCATGAGCTAAATTTCAATTATTTGGTAATGAAGGGTGAAATATAGGGAAATAAAATCCAAAAAGAACTGAAAAAGAGGTTTTGGAGTTGTTAGTATCAATTTCTACCATTAACTTTCTATGTAGCCCTGGGCAAATCTTTAAAATCAGTTTTCCTTATCTCTAAAATGAGCTAATTGGGCTAGATGATCTCCTAAATTACTTTGCAACTAACTTTTTTTTTTTTTTTGGTGACGCATTCAGGGTTAAGTGACTTGCCCAGGGTCACACAGCTAATAAGTATCATGTGTCTGAGGCTGGATTTGAACTCAGGTTCTCCTGACTCCAGGGCTGGTGGTCTATCCACTGCGCCATCTAGCTGCCCTGCAACTAACTCTTAATAGTTATGAGTCTATTCTAAGATTATATATTACCTTACTACCACCAAACCTAGTGTGGCAATCAAAGAGCAGAATATACTAATTTCCTAACTTCCCTTTTGTCTTGGGGCACTCAAATGGACGTGCTGTTAAGCAACATGACAAAAATCAGACAGAAGGAAAAAGGGGTAAGGAACTGAGATCATGGGACCCTGTGCTGAGTTTGGGAATACCGTGCTGCATAGACTTTTCCATTCTAAGACCTAATTACAAGCCACCATACTTTAGTAAGTCACAAACTTATAATCAAGTCTTATCTTCACTCTCTAACAATAAACCCTTCCCTAACAGAAACTCAGGCCAAAGATATTTCAAAGGAAATGGGTCCTACCTCATATCTCCAAGTTTTCTGCTGATAGCAGAGCTCACATTGGACAGGGCAGCTGAAGTCTTCTGTCCTGCCTGGGAGAGAGTTTCCTGAGTCTTCTTGTAACTAGACAGAAGAAAAATAAGTTAAACCAATCAAACAAGAATGAGAAGGTTTCCACCCACCAGGCAAGGAAAAAGCATCCCTACATTCTGGAAAAGGTTCCCCAAAGGAAAGATTCAAATAAGTTAGTGAATAGTGGTGCTGCCACAAAAAAGCTTCTCCTCCACTTCTGCATGGGACCCCTAAGAAAGGGAAGCAGCCTCACCTGTTCAGTGCTTATAAGCAGTATTAAGCCACATTTTTTTCAAAAGCATATAACCAAGCTAAATTTAGATTTATCTTATGGCTCACATTCCTTCTCTCTTACTACTCATACTCATTTTCCCCTTTCCTTAAGGATGCTGAATCAAGCTTTCATCACTGAGAAACAAAAAAGATCTGGATAACAGAACTAGAACGACAGAGAATATTATGCATATGACAACAGGACAGGAGGACAAGTACCATTTTGGAGGCAAGAGTCAGGAAAGTCCTCCCAGTTACTTTTAGTCACACTTAAGAAATATTAAGCTAATATTCACCATTACCTTAATTCATACTTTTCTCATCATGAGTACATCCATATTATGCCAGTATGCAAAGGGCAGTTAATAGCAAAGATCCAGAACAAATCCGTTTTTCTGCCATCTGTGGTCTAAATGCACACATTTTCAATGTTTAGAAGTTTTTTCTCCCCCCATATCACCTCAAACATAAGAATTCCTTGTACTATATCCATAACTGCCTTTTGGGACAGGGTACAAAGTTCAATTTTAATACTATCATTTCAAATAGCTTATAAAATTTCATCTTGAATCTAACACTAAGGTAGAATCCTATGCTTTAGTCCTTTGCCTTCCACCAACAGCCACTAAGCACATACCCCTTTCTCAAGGGTACTTTTGAAGTTATTTTCATTATTTGAGATAAGGAATTTGGCATTAGCACAAAATTTAGTGGCCAAGTTATAGCCAATAAATATTCCAGGGAAAAGAGTGCCCAAGTCAGAGTTAGAACCTTGAATTGCCTCCCCTTACTCAGCAATCATCACAAACAAAAAGTTAAGACTTACTCACCTCAACCACAAAATCCAAAGAGCCTTGAGAAGCAACCAGAAGTCATATAGCCTATAACGTAGCATCAAGAATCATGATAGCAATAAAGGGCTTATAGCCTACATTTTACAGTCATGTTATCTACAGTCAAATGAGGAGGAATCTTTGGTGAAGCTGACTATTTTAAGACTAAAATCACTTTGACACAAACAAGATTCAACCTCTTCTGAGAGATCCAGTCTGTAGGAGACTAGTACTTTATCAACAATATTATGTTAGTTCACACAACTGTCTAACAGTACTCTCTAATAAGATCACAATCAGACTGTTAAGTCATTTGGCTAATGTTCCAAAATAAAGACTTTGCCTATTTCCTACTGCAGTATTGTTTCAGAAATTAATCTTCCTTAAACACTTTTTCATCATTATTACTCCCTTGTTCAAAATCCTTCAATGGCTCCTCACTGTCTACAAGTTCAAACTCTTCAAGGTGGCATCCAAGGACTGCTACAATCTAATGCCATCCAAACTAGCCAACCTAATTTCTGAGTATTTCCAACATGAAATCCTTATTCTAATCAGGCCAAGATTCTCACTGTCTCCTGACCACTCACTCCATTCTTATTCTCACCCTAGCAACTATACTCGTACTATTATTGTCCACTCCTCTTTACCTAATTAAATTGTAATCATCCTTCTAGGTCATATTCAAGTCCTCCTCCTCCCTGATTATGCTAATACCTCTTTGAAAGTCTCCATGATTATGCTAAGTCACACTGATCTTTTACTGTCTGTATCACACAAGCTAATACTTTATTAATTAGTGTCTTGTAGTGTTGTCCAGTTGATTCCTGTGTGTTAAGTCATCTTACCCCAATTACAATGCTCTTTGAGAATGTTTCCCCCCAAACTGTCAGAACAATTCTCTGGACAAAGGTGGTATTCTATGAACACTTACTAGATTGGAGGTGGGTGGGTAGCAGGGGACAATGCACTTCTAGGACTGATCTGAATACTCTGGGGTTTGAAGTAAATGAGAAATTTATTTTGTTTTTGTTTTTTTACTTAGCTTGCCCTGATATCTCGCTAGATTTATATGTTCAGATCTCATGGGCAGGCCTTCTCAGAACACCGCATACAAATCTTCTGTACTTGTCATATACTAAACTACATTTATTGTGTTACACATACTCTCCCCTGCTAGATTACAAATTCCTTAAAGCCAGAGAAACCTGGATTTTAATTCCTTCTCCTCTACTTATTTGCTGCATGACTACGGGAAAGTCACTTAGCCTCAGTTTCCTCATCTGTCAAATGAAGATAATAATAGCACCTACTCCAGAGATGTAGTGAAGATCAAATGGGATAATCTATAACAAGCATCTGTAAACCTTAAAATGCTACATAAATGTCAGCTATTATTATGTCTCCTAGCACAGAGCCCTGTGTATAGCATAACAAGAATTTAATAAATGTTTAATCAAAGAAATGGTTATGAAGATATCCATGTTATTGCTAACTAATTCTTGCAATATAATGCAAGACACACTTCAATAAAGAGAAAAAAATTAACCACCTAAAACTTTGGCAAGAAAATCCCACTCCTAGATTTTAACAACTGGTAAGAATGCTACATATATAAACAGGCTTTGGAAAAAAGACTCTTCAAAATGTCCTCTTCCTCATACTGAATCTAATGTGTTACTGTAACATTTCCAAGAGTCAAGAATGCCTTTCTACTTCAAAAACAAAATGTTGTAACAACCATAACAGCAACATGTTAGATCTGACCAAGTTCTGGAATCTGCTCTAATACCCTCAGGGTCCAAGGAGACTGTACTTTTTTTTTAGTAACAGAAGTCACTACATCTTAGAACTTAAAGGGACCTTAGAGCTCATCCAGTCCAAGCCTTTCATTGTACCAATGAGAAAATTAAGGCTCTGAAAGTTTAAGTTCCCTAAGGTCAAACAATAAGTGATATATAAGGAAATGCCTGTACAGAAACATTTCTCCTTCCAAGACAGTAAAATCTTCAACATGAAGCAACTGAATTAAATCAACTCTTTTACTCAAATACTCAAAAAAGCTGAGTAATTCAGATAAAATGCTCCATCAGAGAAAGAAAATGCTGTACAATTTTTTTTTTAAAGAAACTACCATATGTCTGAAAGGGATCTCATGTAGCATCACTCTCTTAAAAATTACACTGTAGTCTTCATTTGTTTTAGTCAAGTGATTTGGGTCTGTCTTCCATTCTCTACCTCAACAGTAAGCCAGTTCTGCTGCCACCCACACAACCTCAAGCACATGCAAATTCCAAAGGTTCCTTACTACAGAAATGCAAGTTCCATAACAAAATCTGTCATTACAACTATGGAAAGGTTCTGGCACTAACTGATTAGGGCAAGGCTCCACCCAGAAGAACCTGCCACTTACTATCCAGAACCCAATCTGTTGACAAAAAAGTAAGGATGTTCCCTGCCTATTTCCTTAGCTTTCCCAAACCTGGCAATTCTTTTTTCCTAGATTAATCAACAATATTTAGTCACATCTTACACTTTTATTTTATTAAAGTTCTAAACCTGAGTGAAATCGGTACAAATTCTTTGAAGGGAAAACAGGTAACTTTATTTACAGACTTAGGGTCAACTTTTAATCTAACACTAATTAATAATTGCTTTTAATCTAACTTTTAATCTTTTAATTTTTAATTTTAATCTAACACTAATTTTAATCTAACTTTTAATCTAACACTAATTAATAATTGCTAAGAATTGGTTTTTTACATCAAAAGGAGCTTAGCAACACTGACTCTATGATGAACAAACCACTTGCAAAATTTAGTTTCAGAAATTCAAAACAAGACTTACTCTTCAAACTTGATTTTTATTTTAAAAAAAGTATATAAAACTACATGTTAACATTCTAAACTTAATAAATGTGAGCTTTAAAAGGAAGGCCTTACATATTCCCACCTATATTTGTGCTAAACAAAATGTGACAAGGGAGAAAAATAAAAAAAGGCAAAAGGAAAGCCTTCTTCACCCAAACAATGGCAGAAGAATATCTTGAAAACAACAGTCCTAGATAGGACTATAGCTACTACTTATAAGATGAGCTGGTGGATCACCTTAGGTTTCGAAAAAAATTAGAGGGGCAGTTAGGTGGCGCAGTGGATAGAGCACTGACCCTGAAGACAGGAGGACCTGAGTTCAAATCCGGCCTCAGAACAAACACTTGACACGTACTAGCTGTGTGACCTTGGGCAAGTCACTTAACCCCAACTGCCTTACCTATCAACCCATATGAAAGATGTGATGCATTTTTTAAATATACACAAGGCAAAGAAAATAGAGACAGGATGAAAATTTTTTTTTTTCAAAATAAAATTGTAATAATATTTTCATGTTAATTGACTTGCTTCATCCTTCTAGTTTAAGTTAAAACCACAAATGGTGGTCCCCAAGCAAGAGACAAACAGGGAGGGGAAATGCTTTGTTTCTACACTCTCTCAAAATAAGGCGCAGGAGCTAGTTTCTCTATCGTAAGGCTTTTCCTGCCCATGGAAACTGAAACTGAACAACTGCTGAACAACTCATTAGGAAAAGAATGTGTACCAAGGGTATACACTCTAAGACACTGGTGCCCCTGAGTGGCATCTGTGAAGCTGGCAGCATTCTACCCTCCCCAACATATGCACTTTTTCCTCCCTCTGCTGTTCTCTGATCTTATTCTTTTTCCATTTTCCCTTTTCTTTAGATTGGCCATTGGTTCCCAGTACCACTCCTAAGCATTGTTCACCTAGAAGGGTGGGGAGGGGAAGAAGGAAGAAGAGAACAAAGGCGGGAGGGGATTCGGAAGGTACTCACATCAGCGCCAATCTAGACTGCAAGTCAACTTGTGACTCAAGGTTTTCATCATCCCCACCCCTTAACCAAATGAAGTAGAAAACTACTGAGGGTGAGGTAACCCATAGCTATGTTATGTTCCATAATTAATGGAACATATTTTCCCCAACTGGGCAAATAATTTGAATCAAAGGAAGTAATTAAATAAGAACAGAAACTGTTAATGATATCAAAGTTTTTTTTTAATCCAATACAAAAACACAGAATATTTTGCACTAAAGTTTCAGACACTCACGCTTCTGAATGGGTTAATTTCTCACTCCAGTCCTCCATTGTGCTGCTTGCTGAAAGATATCTACAAATACATGGATGTTAGAAAAGATGGTACCAATACTCCTGGAAGTCACTCTCCCTATAACTAAATAAATAATGGGTATAGACATTCAAGCTTAACTAGAGCAATTTAATCTTTCTCCAACTATAAGTTGCCTGACGAAGGTATCAACTAAGTACTTCCAAGTACTATGCTTTACTGGGGTAGCAAACATCAATGTTTCAAGCAGATCCAATCCCAGGGAGCATATTTTCCTTCTATATTCTAGCAGCAAATTCTGGGTTTTGAAATCACCTTTATAATTCTCTCTGTCATCAAAAATTAGTAGTTAATTCATACATAGCAGGAGCATTTATCCTTTAAGATACCAAGTTTATGCCCCCCCAACATAACTAAAATATTAAAATAATAGTCTTTTCCCACTGGAATATAAGGCTTAGTTAAATATTACAAGATACAGCTGCTCCCAAAAAAAAATCCCAAGCCTACCATGATATGATACCTCTAGTAAAACATATAATCTTATCAATTATCAGTTTTGGACAACACACACTTGGATTTCTTCATTTTGGTATAGGAAATTCAAAAGTCAAGTTTCCTAGGTTTCTCCAGTTAACTGACATCAACCAAGCTAAATTTTTTAATGGTGGTATTAATATTTTGTGTTTAAAATTTTTCATTACATTAGGATTTCATCTCCATCTTACTCTTGACTTCCACAGCTGTGTTACTAAAGGATTTGGGGGATGCCAACTCCAACTTCTCTGCCCCTATTTCCCTACCCAGTGTACTGGACCAGTCCAACTTACCACTAGTTGTCTCACAGTAAAAAATAAGATTTCTAAGTATTTTGAGGACTAGAGAAAAAGGACAATTTTATGGTAATTATTAATAGTAACCTTAGAAATACCTTCAACTGGTACAAAGTCTGCTCTGCCCTCTAAGTCTCCACTCTCAATTAAGCTATGGCCCTTACCAGAACAGCTGAATCTGAAGGGAGCCAGCCTCACCAACATGTCAGCTTAGGGCAAGGGAACAGATGTAGCCACCATAAAAGCCCAGAAGTTTTAAGGAGACAGGTTAAGGTAAACATATAGGTGGCTCTCCAACACGGCATGAGTCTTCCCTTCCTCTTCAGTAATGACCTTCCCAGCTTGAATCTCCATTCATGTATACCTCATCACCCATAATAGCTACCATTTTTATTATTTCTATTGATCCTCGTGACAACCCTGTGAGGTAAGTGCTATTAATAACTTATTTTGCAGATGAGGAAATTGAGGCTTAGTGAGGTTAAGTGACTTGCCCAGGATCACACAGGTGTCTAGACACAGTGTCTAGGGCCGAATTCAAACTCAGGTCTTCCTGACTCCAAGTCCAATAGTCTATCCATTGTACTACCTATTCATTTTATGCTTCCCTAGATTCCAATTTTGATTTCTCCAGAGGCCAATTTTCCCTCTCCACCCAGCCATGGTTACATTAGATAAATTATGACCCCATTCCTACCCCAGGGAATATAACTACCTAAACTAATCAAATTTAAGTTTAATCCTTTTCAGATTATCTGCCGTGATAAATTTGCCTTATATCCAAAGCATCTTGGATCCCAGAGCCTTTAACATGACATTAAAACTTCTATTGCAAGTCCTAAAGGAAAGCACCAATATTACTGGAGTGTTGCGGGTGTGAGATCCAAACCACCAGGACAACAAGACACAGCTCCTATGGGAAAATCAAAGTACAAAGCTGTAGCCAAGCTGAGCTCAAGATAATGGACTTCCATCACCTTCCAGTTAAGCTGTACTCTGCTGTGCTAGGGAACACAAACACAGGAATTTTTTGCTCATGTTTTCTGATGGCTAGAGTCACACTTCCTTCAAAACAAGACCTGGAAAAGTCCTGCTGAGCAAACACTTAAAAAGTACTTCCTGCCCTTCCTCTCTATAAAAAAAATTCTAGCTAGATTAGAGCCTCCATATCTTTATTGACTTGATAGAAAACTTCAAATAAAAGGATCTCTGTGTATAGAACTAACTGTCCTGTACTAGTAACTTATTCAGTTTCTGTCCCTAAAATCTAAGTTTCCATATGATATAACACTCTTTCCAATGACCTTAAGGGACATCTCACTAAGCCTCAAAGTCATATGTGAGAACAGACTGATCAAAGCCAAAATACCTGATTTAACTTAAAACTATCATACTATGATCACTCCATAAGGGACATTAGTGACTAGGCTTTATCTAAACTTTAGCTCTTCCCTACTGCTCCACATAACAGTCCATACAAAGTAGGTGTTTAATATATGTTTGCTAAACAACCAGGCAAGGGGAAAATGTTTTGAGAAGTTAAGAGTACTTTAATTATCTTGATAATGTCATCCAATTATGGTGAAGAGCTGGTCTGGTAAATGTGTACAACTTCTCATAGCTACTGCACCCTGATTTGCAAAAGTCAAGATTGATAACTGAGAGGGAAAAAATACCCAATTAGTCATCAAATACCAAACAAAAGTTTACCCCAAGCACAAAGCCCTCCCTGCCACCTGAAAGAAAAGCACAGGATAGGAACAATAAGGGGGCAGAGTGGTGCTGACAGGCCAGATGAACTCACAAGTCAGACTGTGTCACTTTCTCATTCCACTCTCCAAGTTTCTCAGATGTTTTCACATAGCTAGAAACAGAAATTCTGGTGGTGAATTTCTAAATCAAGATTCCAAATTGGGTTTGAAATTGCATATAAATAGCAGGGGAGAAAGCAAAGAATCAGAGATCATTAGAAAATAGCCACCCACAGCTTGGCACCCTCATCATGCACGATGCAATAGTTCTATCCTTTATCTTTAGTGATGTTTGGCTGTTTAGTATATGCTGTGTGACCCTGAACTAAAAGGCCATGTGAAACCAGATTAAGGCTCTAGAAGAAATGACTCCAGAAGAAATGATAAAAGTTCCTTTTTAGTTCTAACATGTTGAATATACATAGTTATCATTAAATAATGAGGTTCACGTATAGATGTTTGGGGAGAATCAGGAAAGAGAAGAACTGATGGTTAGTAGCAAGCCTTAAAACCACATGTACCTGACAACTTACATGCCTGTTCTTAAAACACTGCAATTCTCAGGAATTAGAACTGCTTTGTGTTAGAATGGTTCATGTGAAGTGCCAGTTTCTACACAGGGCTATAGTTTCTTAAGTAAGGGGAAACCTGGTTCACACAGTACATTCCCTCCTCACCCCCGACCACCTCCCCCACTCCAGGCTATTGGTTTTAACAGGAACCGAGAAATTAGAACAATGAGTTCTATAATGAAAAGTCGGAACTGCTTTCCTATTCCCCACCTTCTTTGAAAATCTGTAGTTCTTCAAATGAACTGCCTTAGTTTGACAGGCCAAAATAGATATGTATTTTAGAGGACTAGAATAGTTATTGCGTTGGAGATTCCAAAATTATGTGACTAAGTTCTTATGTTAAGAAAATGTATGCATTTCAATATGTACCATACTATATGTGCCATCAAAAAACTCAATCCCTGTGGGAAAATGAATTAGTACCCTGGACTACGAATTCCTGAAAGTCATTCTCTTTTAATTTCTACATGAAAATCTAGTTAGTTCTTCTATCTTTAAAAACAAAATTATGAAAAGTTATTAGCTCCATATTTGGATAATTAAAATATTTCCTAAATTCCAGCACTCATCCTTGACATACTTTTACTAAACAGACACATTTTATCCCTTATCACCAAAAACTTAATGCACTCTGACAGAAAGGCAGAAAGAATGGCCAATTCCTGAGTACATTTCAAAAAGGTAGCTGTACCTACAAGTGAAAAGAGAGTCAAAGGGAAACCTACGCATTGGAGACCTGAACATCATGCCAACTCTTTGAAAGATTCTGCTTCAGTCCATCCAAGGGAGTCAGGCCCAGCTTCCTCTTCAGCTCACCACAGTGTCTTTCTTTGGCTGCCAGGACCTGTCGTAATGTAACAATTTCTTCTTCCACCTTCAAAATAATAAAAATGTTTATTACCGTATGATCAACAATCACAACTCATATTTCTATTGCATTTCAAGCTTTGCAAAATATTTTTACTCATGACAACTTTGTTAGGTGGGTAGATGAGGAAACTGAAGTTCAGAAAGACTAAGTGACTTGCTCAAGGTTACTACTAATCACTGATTTGAATCCAGTTCTCTTGACCTCAAATCTACTGCTCTTTCTGCTACACCATATTGCCTCTGCATCTCCAGTAAAGACTAATTCAACCTATTCAACAGGCTATAGAACTGGCCCCTAAAAGCAAAATATTCATCCTAGGCTTGGAACTCAACATTTAAAATGCATTATAGTTATATATTTTAATACCCTCACTGGCTACAAAGCCTTACTTACTTCCTTGATTTAGTTAGATTTTGCAATGGCTCAGGTCTAATGTACACTACTGTTTTTAAAAATTCCTTTTTCTGAAAATTATCCTTTGGCTTCTACCTCCCTATAATAGAGACTTGAGTCTAGCCCATTTCTAGTTGTACTTAATTCCTCATTATTGTTTTAATAATGTAATTCTTTGAGAGATAACAAGAGGGACAGGCACTGGACCAATGATTTCACTGCTATAGGGGACCTCCAGATGAGAAAATTCCCTCTACCAACACATGTTGATCCCTTCTCTGAAATTCATAGTTTTTAAGCAGTTCTTAATCTTTTTTGTTATGGACCCATTTAGCAGTCTGGTGAAACTTGTAGCCCCCTTCTCAGAACAATATTTTTAGGTACATAAAATATATAAATTCACAAAGGAAACCAATTTTATATATTGTAATAGTTATCACAATATTTTAAAAAAACCTAGTTCACAGACCCTAAGTTAAAAACTTGTTTTAGAGAGTTGCCTAGAATACTTAGAGGTTAAGTCATTTGCCAGGGTCACATAACCTGTATGTGTCAAAGGTGGGACTTGAACCCAAGTCTTCCTGACTTCAAGGCCAGCTCTTTATCCACAATGCCACTCTGTCTCTGGGAAGCTGGTTTAGGGGATATACTGGGAAATGTACATGACTTAAAAACAAAAATAATTAATAAAAATTTATTATGAAATAACAATGTGCTGAAATTCATATAATCATACAAGGCTACCAAGTATAATAATATCAAGCTACCACCTGTCATTTGAACATTTGGCAACAAAACTGGGTCACTAAATCTTGCAACTGTTCTAACTTTCAGTCTGTGAGTCAAAGTCAATAGGAAGTAGCATCAGGAAGGTCAAAGAGAAATAATTCTGTTTACTGACTAATTTCTCATTTACAAATCTAGATGCAATTTTAATAATAGCAACAAAGAAGTCATCCCACATTATTAGAAGACCTAGAAACAGAAGCTTTGTAGAATATTCAGAAATCCGTACTAGAGAAATGACTATGAAACCCTAAGAATCATAATACTGAGAAGACATGTGGACTGACAAGTCCATTTATGGTATACTAACAGGGTTTATGGTACATTCGCTAATTATCTAGACCATTCAAATTGGGGTTTGAAAGTGACAGAACAATTCCTTCACCTAATAATCCCACTGTGAGCTGGACCTCAGTGTTTGGTTTATAAACTCCTTAAGGTATTCTGAACAAAATGAAAAATATCAATTCCTTTGGACCACAGCCTGTTCTCCCTTAAGCTTTTTCCAACTTACAAACAATTGTTGCATTTTCCTCAGCAATATGAAAGTTGATATACTGGTGTTTGAAGCTTATGTATATTAACAGTCTATTCAACCCCTTAAGTTGGATTCTAAATACCAAAATATGTTTGATCTTAAAGATATCCCTTAAGACGGAGCAAAAGTACTGCCACCTCTGCCCCTTGTTTTAGTATGGGGTGAAACATACCATAACCTGAGCAACTTTATACTAACACTTTTAATTACAATAAGCCTGCCAAAATGTTTAGTGAGTTTCTTTCTCTGTATCCCACCATCTTAAGTTTATCAGTTTTAACCTTATATCACAAGAAGTTTAATGGCAACAACAAAATATCATTTTAGTAGTTAATATGCATAAAAGTTATACCAACAGGTCCTCAATCTTGTTGAAACAGGTTAATTGATAATAAGTTCTTTAATAATCTCTAAGAGGAGCCTAGCATAGCAGCTAGAGAGTCAATCTCAGAGTCAGAAAGACCTGGGTTCAAGTTCTATCTTTCAAACATACTGGCTCTGTGGTTCTGGCAAGTCACTTAACCTCTCTCTCAGTGTCCCTAGGCAACTCTCTAAGACTCTCAGTTGCAGTTCTGAATTGGTAGAAGATTCCTCACCAGAAGTTCTCCAAAAGAATGAAACCACAGGTCTAATTTGGGGGGGGGGGGGGGGGAAAAACCTTTAAAGTGCCTGCTATCATCCTAGCCTTGCCTTCCCTTAATCATGTTCAAGATTTAAACAATTGTCTCTTGCCATGCCAATTCATCATCAAAGTCAAAACCATAACAAAAAGTCATCAGGGAAAAGGATATAAACCCAATATTATTATCAGGTCTACCAAATCACTGGCTTCTGAGGCTCCTGAAAGAAAGGAAAACCTGAGCCCCCAATTCAGCTACCAGCTGTGACTAATGGACAAGTCACATCTCTCTGAGCTTCAGTTTCCTTATCTATAAAATAGGAAGAGTAGTATCTGTACTATGTACTTCAAAACTTGTTGTGAGTAAAGTACTTTGTAAACGGCAAAACATTATACAAACATGGGCTATTAACAGGTGCAATAATAACAGTCAACCATATTTAGAATGGGCAATCTCAGCAGATTTCAATTACAGTATGATTTCTCATCATGTTAACATTTTATAAGTATACTACAGCACCCCTTCCTCTTACAAACTTTAATGAAAGAAGGCTGTGATTAATTTTGAGCAAAGAAAACACTTTGTTACCTTAGTGAGTTCAGATCTGAGCTCTTCTTCCTCTGCCTCTGTCAGGCCCTCAGGAATGGAGGTCCTGGCAGTCCCTGTATCCACGGGCACATCTGTCATGGTATCTGATAGCAGACCTTTGTTAGGAGAATTCAAGTTGATATCTGTCAGTAAGAAGAAATAGGATGAGAGAAAACAAATTAACAACTATGGTAAGACCTTTAGATAACAAAGATCTCCCTGAGGGAAAGGAAAGGTGGGAAGAGTGGGGATGGGGAAGGCTAGGAAAAGACCAAATGGGAAATAACACCAATTGTGCTGTTAAGTTTCAAAAAGGCAAGCATGAGGCAGAAACACTCAGCTTTGGTATTCCGTGTGAAAGTTCTATCAAGTTTAAACTCTGAGATGGCAAAATCCTCACTACAAACAAGGCAACAAGTTTTAGTAGGGTTTTTTGTTTGTTTGTTCAAAATGAAGGAATTTCATATGACAATAAGCACTCCCAGCTTCCCATTCCAAGGAACTCATCTACGAACACACATACTTGAATTATATACAAGAAGCACCTGACAATGATACCGCCATTGCAGGGTGTCAGCAAAACTAAATCCGATTAGCTCAAGCATCACGTTATGTCCTATATTCAGGGACTTCACTGGGCATTATGTGAGCAGAAAGTGGAAGAGGTGAAAGAAACTGTTCTCTCCAAAGTTACCGATGATTTTTTAATTGCCAAATCAAAGGGTTTTTCTCAATCCTCCTCCTTCTTGACCTCTCTGCAACATTTAATACTGCTGATCTCCTCCTTCTGGATCCACTCTCCTCCCTGCATTTTCAGGCCATTGCTCTCTCCTGTTTCACTTCCCATTTGTCTGAATGCTCATTCTATCTCCTTTGCTCATTCTTCATCCAAGTCATATCCATTCATTAACTATGGATATCCCCCAAGGCTCTGTCCTGGGTCCTCTTCTCTTTTCCTTTTACACCAAGCGTTCTTAACCTGGGGTCCATGACTTTTAAAAAACAGTTTAATAGCTGTACTCTAATATCATTGGTTTCTTTTGCTACCTTACATATTTTACTTTATGCATTTAAAAACCATTCTTCTAAGCAGGGGTCCCTAGGCTTCACCAAACTGTCAAACTAGTTCATGACACATAAAAAAGGTTAAGAACCCCTGTATGTACAAAGGGCTATAAAACTGTATATACCCTTTGACTTAGCAATACCACTACTAGGTCTGTATCCCAAAGAGATAAAAGGAAAAAAAAAAAAAAGGAAAAGGACTTATATGTACAAAAAAACCAAAAACAACTAGAGCAGCTCTTTCTGTGGCGCCAAAGAATTGGAAATTGGGAGGATGTCAATCAGTTATGAAATGGCTAAATAAGTTGTGTTATATGTGATGGAATTATATTTTGCTATAAAAAATGATGAGCAAGACACTCAGAAAAACCTGGAAAATCTTATATGAACTGATGCAAAATGGAATGAGCAGAACAAGAAGATTGTATACAGTAACAGCAATATTGTATGATGATTAACTGTGAATGACTTAGTTATTCTCAACAATACAATGATCCAAGACAATTTGAAAAGACTTAGGATGAAAAATTATACCCACCTCCAGAGAAAGAACTGATAGTGTCTAAACAGATAAAAGCATACTTTTTTTAAACTTTCAAAAAAAAAAAAGAACCCTTGTTCTACATTATTTCACTCAGTGAGCTCATCAGCAAACAATAACCATCTCTATACAGATCTATACATCCAGCTCAAGTCTCTCTCCTTTGTTACATTCCAAAGCACCAACTGCCTTCTGAACATTTCCAACTGGATATCCTATAGGCATCTCAAAATCACTATGTCCAAAACAGAAATCATTACCTTTTCCCCAAAACCATCCCCTCTTCCAAACTACCATATTACTGTCAAGGGCTCTCCCAATCTTCCCAGGCCCCCAAACTCAGAACCTCAGGGTTATCCTCAATTCCTCACTCTCACTCAACCCATATATCTAATTGTTGTCAAATCTTAACATTTCTCCCTTTATCACATCTTTCATATGTGACAGCATGTCACTTTTTCTCCACTCACACAACCACTACTTTAGTACTGATCACAACTCACTGATCTAGCCTTTTAACTGGTCTCCTTGCCTCAAGTGTGTCCCACTCCAATCAGTCCTCCACTCAGCTGTCAAAGCGATTTTCCTCAAGCAAAGGTCTGGCCATGCCAACACCTTACTCAGTAAATTCCGATGGCTCCTTATCACCTCCAGCATCAAATGTAAAATGTTCTGTTTCTAATTCAAAGCCTTCTTACACTTTTCTCCCTTCCAGGTACTCTCTGGTCTACCTGCAGTTCCTCACATACAATACTCCCAACTCTGTACCTTTTCGCTGACTCTTAGTTTCTCTGGCTTCAAGACTCAGCTCAAGCCTCACTTTCTTCAGGAGGCCTCGTCCTCCAGTTGCTAATGCCTTCCCCTCTCGGATTACTTTCCATTTACTCTGTATATATCTTGTGTTAATTACTTACTCACATGGACCGAGACAGTGTTTTTGCCTTTCTTTGAATCCCTAGTGCTTAGCACAGTGCCTGGCACAAAGCAGGGGCTAAATAAATGCTAGCTGTGGACTGACTACATCTAGGGCTACACTACTTTTCATATCAAGTTTAAACTTCTTGCATTGAATGAGATCTGACCTCTCTTCTTAGCATATATTCCTCTATACTTTATACTCTAGAAATCTAGATGATACCACAGAAATGTAGCTTATTTCACTTCTTAGAACATTATTGTTCAGTATTACTACACTAAAAATTACAAATTAATAACAAAACCTTTTCCTAGCACAATGTACATCATTTAAAATTTAAAATAAAAAAGGCATTCCTTTTAAAAGCAAAACTTATAGCAGACTGTAAGATTCTTAAAGTCAAGGAACATGTTTTATTCACCTAGTAGTACTTAGCTTTGGGCCTTGAGCCCCAGGCATAGGTGCTCAGTAGATAACTGTTGAATGAAAAATGTCCTCTTTTTAAAAATAGTACTGATTCTGAACTTAAATTCTGTTTAGTTCATATTCTTTTGCTTAATCATTTTTATCTGCTGTGGTATCCCTTAAGGTAAATGAACACCTGAATTTTGCTGCAATTGTTACTCATCAATTTTATTTTAGAAAACCATACCCTGGGGAGGAGTGCAGTAATTAAAAAAAATAGAAACCAAGAAATACTTTCCCCACAACAATCATCATCAAATTATAAAAACTTCCACTGAAAGAAACAGATGTCAAACTAAAAACAAGCAACCTAAACCCAGTGATACTGTAAACAATCCAAATTACATATCTGTCAAAACGCAAAACATTCTTTCTATTCTGAAATCCCTGAAATTATTTTACTCCAAACCTTAATGATTCAGATTTCTTATCACATTTCTCTTATCATGCCACTGAAACACCACTGAAGAAGCTTTTCCTCAAACAGACTGATTAGGTGTGTCAGTATTACAACTTGACCCACCAGCTTTGCCAACTGCCACCTCCTCCTAGCCTCCCTCAGGTAACACCAGACACCCACATTAAGAAGAGATATAAGGTAGGCCAAGAAAATGCCCACTGAGGACCTGAGTAGGGAAAGAATAACACAATAAAAGTGAAAAGAGTTACGGTGATTATTCAACAGTATCCTGGATGCTGACCCTACAATCTGATTCTGTATGGTGAGTACCAACTAGAGAGACACATTTAAACAAGATCCCCAAATATCAGTGAAAGAAGAAAGGGGAGTGTTGAGAAAGGAAGGAAATTCCTGTGTGGGAGATGTCAGGGAAAGAAACATGAAAATGGCCTGAAAAAGCGGTGGGAGGGAGAGAGCCATGAGGAATCTGGGGAGGTTAAGGGAGTCTGGAAGTGAAGCAATTGAAGTTGGAGAAGTTTACATGGAAGAAGGTATGGAAGAGTAAGAAGGCTAAAATTTGGAAGACAAAGGGTAAGGAGAGCTGAAAGAGGATTGAGGCTGGAAAGAAGGGCAGGAAAGAAAAAATACTAAGAAAAAGGCAAGAGAGAGGTCTAAGAAAAATACAAGATGTAGGAGAAACCTCTGAGAGGGAGACTGAAGAAGATGAAGACATTGTGGGGTAGGAAACTTAAGAGAGTTGGGGGCAGCACAAAGAGGTGATAAAAAATGAGGATATGCATCATTAAATGTAGTTCCTTAGTTAATAAATATTTACTGAATGAAGATGATGGAAAGGACTCAAGGGCCACTCCCAGAGGCTGGGCAAGGAAGAAATGAAGGCACTGGAAAGGGGCTGCTAGCAAGTTGCTGAGAGAAACTGAACAGGAATTCCCATGGAGGATACGGGGTAGGAAAAGAAGGAAAACAACCAAAGAGGGTTCCAGAAAATGGATGGAAAATGTTCCCGGTGATTTTAAGAATCATAGGTTCAGAACAGGAAGGAAACTGTCCAATCCAATCTGCTTATTTTACAAATGAAAGAAGCGCTGGGAAACTTGACCGCTAAGAGGCAGAATGAAATAACAAAAGAAAAAGAAAAAGAAAAAAGCAAGGTCCTCTAATTCCAAATCCAGCGTTCTCTTCTATTTTGGGTTACCTGATTTTTTTGGGGGGGGGCCAAGGGCGGGCAGTTGATCCAGAGAAGTAAGAGCTAGAAAGGATGGGATGACAGGACACGGGAAATGGCCAAGGGCCAAGAGCTGACAGACGGATCCCCATCCGATGTTGGGGAGGTGGGATTCTGAGGGGAACCCAATAGGAGAGACTGGGGAGGCTGGGGGTGGGCTTACCAAGGAAATGGGGGTCGACCAAGAAAACGATGGGGGGGGCATCGAAGGGCACATACGGGGCGATGGGGACACCATGGAGGAGCACATATGGGGGCGGAGGGGAGGGAGGGACAGCATACGTGCCAGGAAGTCACGGGGCTATCTAGGCAGAAGGGACTAAGGTGAGGGGCGGGTACCGGGGAGTGTAGAGAGGAGTCAAGGGCCCAGGGGGCCGGGGGCGGAGCCTGGAGGGGCGGGCTGGACCAGAGGCGGGGCCGGACGGCCTGTCTGTCCGTCAGTCAGTCGGTCGGTCGGTCAGTCAGTGGCTCCGTCCCTGCTCTCCTCCCGCCCCGGCTACCTTGGCTGGCGGGATCCATGTCCGGGCCGTATGCTGGGCAAGTGCCGAGGCCAAGCCTAGTGTCCGTCGCTTCCACTCGGCGTCCAGAAGACTCGGAGCCGCTGCAGCCGCCACCACTGCACGTAATCCCAGCCGCGCTCACTCACTTCCCCTTGGGGCCCCCCCCACCCCGCTTAGCCCTGGCCCCGCCCTCCCCCGGAACCATCCAATGAGAGTTTCCTCCGGCCACGTCCGCACTCCAACTCCGTCCTTCTGATAGGCGAGTGTCTGGTCACGTGACGGGGCAAGGCAGGTGGGGTTTGGGAGAGTCCGGCCCAGTTCGGGTTCACCATTGAGATAAGCGTGCTTCGGCCTAGAAAGGCAGGAAGGACTGGAGACGAGGGGAGTGTGGGGAGGAGGAGGACGCCATAGTGTTGGATTGCGTCTGTCTTATATCCAGTTTTCTGTGGTCAGCTGCCTAAGCCTAAAAGTAAACCTCACTCTGCCATTTTGCCTTGTGTCTGATTCGTTCAACTCTTGGTCTTCCTCCTCCAGGCCCCATCAACCCGAGCAGTCCCCCCCAAGTCCCACGGCGGGGCTAGCCCGAAAGTTTTCCAGACTTCACCAGACCTGTCTTCCCGGCCCCCCGCCGCCGTCAGTCTAGGTTATCATCCTCCAAGTTCTCTGCTTGGTTCCATACCTGCAGACCGACCATGTCTTTCCTTGGGGGTCTTGTTACCCTCAGTCTTGACAATGGTCTTGGTGATCATTTAGGTCTATGGGAATTTGGGGGATCCCACTGCTAAGAAATGGAAGATATTTTTAATTCAGTCCAGTAAACAACATTAGCTTCTTGAGGGCAGGCCCTGTTTTTCTTTAGTGTCCCTATCACAGTAACTTGAACATAGGTGCTAAAAAAAAAAAAAAAAAAAAGCTTTTTGAATTTAATTTGAATTAATGTGCCTCTATCACATACTTGCTTTCTGACCTTGAGTATGCCATTTAACCCCTCAGTGCTCCAGGCATCTCTCTTAGACTCCATTTTGGTGAGCAAATGTAGATCTGCATCAGTAAAAGGAGTTTCTTCTAATGACTTTTCCTATACTAATGAAATCCCTATACTAATGAAATCACAGCTTGGGTAAAAAAAAGAAAAAAAAAGCATTGTACTTGGGGTTGGGTGCTTGGCTTTGTGACCCAGGAAAAGTTGTGTAACCTCTTAGTTTCCTCCTCCAAAATAATGGCAGTACTATTTGTCTTACCCTACTTTACAGGGTTGTTTTGAAGAAAACAAACATTTATGTGAAAGTGAAAAACTTCTGCAGAGGCAAAATTAATGTACCTGGGATAAGAAGGAAAGCCGTCAAATGGGGAAAACAATCTTTATATCAAATTTTCTCGATAAAGATTTGGTATGTAGAAAGAATTAACACCAATTGGATGATGATGAAGTTGTGAATCATAGATGATCATTTCAGAAAGTAATTTGGAATTATGCAACTAAAATTCTGTACCTTTTGAGATTCCATTGCTAGGCTTATACCCCAAGGAAGCCATTGACAAGGAGAAAGTCCCCCATATACACCAAAATTTTTAACAGTACTTTTTGTGATAGCAAAGAATTAGAAACTAAGTAGATGCTCATTAGTTGAGTAATGGCTCCACAAATCACGTATTTTGTTAAGAAATGACAAATATGATGACGGCAAAGAAGAATGGAAAGATCTACATGGACTGATGCAGAATGAAGTCAGCAGAGTTAAGAAAACAACTACACAATGACTACAAAAATGTAAACAGAACAATCACTAAAAGAAGTTAATGTTGCAAAATTACAAAGAATTACATGGTCAAAAGACATTCCTATCCCACTAGATGGTGGAAGGTCCATGATTGTGGTACATAGCACATATTTTCAGACTTTTTCAATATGTTGATCAATTTTGCTTATTTTTTCTTTTATTTTCCCTTTAAAAATATATTTTATTATATAGGATAGCTTTCTGAGAGAGAAGAGGGGAAGGGATGAGGGGGAAAATCTTGGTAGGTAAAAAAGAAAACCAAAAGACACCAGTAAAGACTTATTTAAAAAGAAAAAGTATAGTGATGCCATTAAGAAAAATGGAGTTCAGACAAGATTGGGCATGTTTAGAGTACAGTTGTTACAAGGGTTTGATTTTTTCCTCTTTATTTTTTCAATGGGGTAGATGAGAGAAAGAAAGAAAATGCTCATTAATTGAAAAGAAGATTTAAAATAACTATAATTCACTTTTTAAAAGATAAATAGAATTGTAAAGAGGAACAGATTTTATGAAGAAGATGATTTATTTGGATATATTGGATAAATTGCATATATTAAATTTAAGATGCTGGCAGGACATCTAGGTGGAGCTGTTCATCAGGCAAATGGAAATGGAGGTGTAAAACTCAGAAGAGAGAGATCAGTATTGGAGTCATAGATTTAGGAGAGATCTGCATAGAACTATTAATTGAAGCCATTGTATTAAATGAAATCACCAAGGGAGTTAATATTGAAAGATAAAAGAAAGAAAAGGGCAGGAGAAAAATAAAATACTAACTAAATAATTTTTTTAAAAGAAAAGACAAAGGCAAAGGAAGAGCTTTTAAGGATACTATATGTAGGGGCTAAAAGGAAAAAAAGAAAAAGAAAAAAAAACCAAGCCAGGGAAGTCCCACTTCACTTCTGCCTCTTGGAATCCCTAGTTCCATTTAAGGTTTTGTTCAAGTGCTGCCTCCCAAAGGTCGTTTCTGATGACCCCAATTGTTAGTGTCCCCTCCCAGAAATTACTCTTTTTTTTTTTTGGTCTAGACCTGTAATTTTGTGAGTATTGGAATCGTCCCTGTGAGAAGGTTTGCCCTGTCGATCAAGATCTGGAACTGCTTTGCAATTTGTAGTCTTAGAGTTTCCTTGGGGCACTAAGAGGTTAAGTGACTTGCCTAGTGCATATAAAAGGTGGTACTTAAACCCATACTTTCCTGGCTTCAAGGCTAGGTTTCTATCCAAGTTACCAGAAGGTTTTCTAAATGTTTTGTATAAATTTTATATTTACTTAATCAATGAACGACTATTTATTAAGTGCCTACTATATTCTTGGCCTTGTGCTATGGGTATAATTACAATGAATGGAACAATCTCCCCTTGAAAAGATCTTATGTCTTAATAATGGAGACAACAGTGTATACATATGTACTCATACATACATATATGTGTCTATACAAATAAAATGCAAAAAGAATAAATACAGAGTAGTTTGAGAGGGAGGGCATTAGCATTTGAGGGGATCAGAAATTGCTTCATGTAGAAGGTGATGTATAAGCTGAATCTTGAAGGAAGAAAAAGATCTTTGAGGTAAACATGAAGAGGAAGTACACTCTAGACAAGGGGGACAGCCAGTACGAAGACACAGAGATGAGAAGTGGAGTGTCATGTGTGAAGAACCAAGAGAAAACCGGAATATATGTGAATAGACAGATTACATCAAACCAGAGAGGGAGTACAATGAGGCTGTAAATATTGGTTGGGACAATGTTCAAAAGAAGAAATGTAAATAATCATCAATCATATAAAAATGTTCCAGATTGCTAATAGAAAACAAATCCAAACAACTCTGTAGATATCATGTTATATCCATCAAATTGGACAAGATGATAAGACATAGAAGTAGCAATAAGGAAAATCTAAATGAGTTTCCTCAATCAATTTGACATAATAGAAACATACCCTTATTTGGAGGCATCTAAGGTACACCTTTCTATGAAATCTGAGTGTGTCCGCTGGTGTGATACTGGTTGGGTTCCACCTCCTAGATTCCTTGTCTCCCTTCAAATTCCAGCTAATATTCCATCATTTACAGGAAGCCTTTCCTAATCCTTAATTCTAGTGCCTTCCCTCTGTTGATTGTTTTCAATTTATCCTGCATATAGCTTGTTTGTACATAGTTGTTCAAATCTTGTCTCTCCCATTAGACTGTAAGCTCCTCGAGAGCAAGGACTATCTTTTGCTTTTCTTTGTATACTCTATGCTTAGCAAATAGTAGGTGCTTAATAAATGTTTACTGACTGACTATTTATTAACTGACTGGGACTTCATCCTGATGATTGACTGACTTAAAATCTGATTTCTTTTGGTCTATAAGAAAATTGCTTAGTTTCTCATATCTTCATATCTTCACTTATTTTCCCCTTGTGCCTTCTTTCAAAGTACAGCAATACTGAAAAGAGATTTCTCTCTCCTCTCACACCCAGAAGTAGGTAATGTCAATGCACAGAGCCTGAAAGAGAGATCCTGAGAATGAGATGTCCCATCTTAACAGAAGGCAACAACACTGAAAGTTTCCCAGTGAAGCACAAGGCAGAAGCAGACATGTGTGTGACCACTCAGTTGAAAAAGGAGAGTCCCATATCTGGGAGCTGCCTTGGGGAGAATCTCAATTTTGAGAGTTCTTGAGCTGAGTTTTGATGCCAGACATTCTAGAGAGAGCCAATTTTTTGAAATATTGTTCTCCATGGAAAAAAGAAGAGGATGAATTTAGTTTCTGAGCAGAGTTACTTGGATAGATCCAGTCCAATAAAAAAGTTTACTTATTCTGAAATGTTTAGTATGTTTACTAAGTATATAAACCAAAGTATGTTTATCCTCCAGGAAAATATTAATCATATGAATCTGGGGGAAAAATTATGTATGTTCTTATGTGACAGAGGGATTTCATTAGAATATAAAAGTATCATTCCAATGGCAACATCAAGTTCAATATTGTGTGTGTGTGTGTGTGTGTGTGTGTGTGTGTGTGTGTATGTATTCAATGTATTTCTGAGTCAGTTCATGAGTTGCTCTGGGTCCTTTGTATCTGTAGAAGAGCTGATCTTTGACTACTACCTTGAGGCCAGAAGGCCCAGAATATAGTCATAGGTGTTGTTATTTAGTTGTTTCAATCTTGTCTGACTCTTTGTGACCCCATTTGGGGGTTTCTTGGCAAAGATTCTGGAGTGGTTTGTCATTTCCTTCTCCAGCTCATTTTATAGTTGAGGAAACTGAGGCAAACAGGGTTAAGTAACTTGCCTTAGGTCACACAACTGGTAAGTATCTGAGGCTAGATTTGAACTTAGCTTTTCCTGAATCCAGACCTGGCACTCTTGTCTACTGCACCACTTAGCTGCC